AAGACCATTTTAAGTGCATTGTATACAATAATTTTTGGCATTTTCAATACTTTTTTTAAGGTTTTTTAGTGCACTTAATTCATAGCCCTAATTATAACATTAACTATTAACTTTAATTCAATTAACTATTGTTTTATACATAATTATGTTCTTTTTTTTTTCTTTTTTTAGTTTGTAATATGTAGCGTTCGTACTCGAGCAGCAGTGTGCATAGTTGTCACTTCATCACTCGTCAGTCAGCAATCGGAAAATCTGTACTCGAGTGAAAATAATTATTAATTATTACTTTTGGATGTATAATAATATGGTATATCATATGCTCACCCACACTAATATGATTTTACACATCTACACAAATGAACAATGAACTAGTGTGAACACAATACAACAAAAAAACCCTTCAGCCACCACCCGGTGAAAATACGATGACCTGCATTTAAATGGAATTATTATCCATACTACATTTCATTAAAAGTTATAAATAGAAGCATCGCCGTACCAAGCTGAATTAAATGTATATTTTCTTTATTTTGTTTTAATAAAAACTTACATTTTAACCATTTTATAATATAAGATAAACAATAGACATATTTTGATATAATTATTATTATTTTATTTTAGTTTAAATATTAAAATTTTAAATTTACATGGTTCGGCAAGGCGGACTTAGAAAGCCTGCAGCCCAATAGGACTTTTCCTACTGTCCCACCTGGCCAGTTCATATCTGAATAGATGCCCAGAACGCAATTGTGTGCATATATACCGATTAACCAACAAATACGAGTGTTTGATGTTTGTCTGACCGACAAGACAACGTTTGTGCCGGGCTGGAACAATTTTGCTAACTGTGCGTCTACACGCCATATGCGCCAAGGTTAGGTTAGGTTAGGTTAGGTTGCTACGTTTTGTAATATACTTATTACTTATGTATTAATATTAGGATTGTAGAGTAGGTTTTTTTTAAAAAACACCAACTGACAACAATTGTGACAAAAAATTAACCTACAACTGTTTTGATGACAAGCGGGTTATGCTTGCTGATAAAATACATACCAAGGCTTATGGATACTATCGCATAGAATAAATAAATTAAAATTGATTTTGTTTTTAAATAACTAAACATAAAATATTTATTTATTTTTTATAGAGAGTAGATGCACTTGAACATAATATGGAGATGGTATTGATGGTGTAAAATGGATAATAGAATAAATTAATGTATACGAATAATTTATGTATTAGATTCATAATAGTTGCTATACGCAAATACTTTATAAAATGTACGATGTCTAGGATTTAAATCCTTATGGAAAATACAACAAGGTAAAGCTTCTTCAGTACATATCTGATCGAATCCAGGACATCCCAAGTCTTCAAGGTTTATGAGTGCGATGTGTGGTGTATGCTCTATAGGAATATGTTTTTTCTGTTTCCCTTTGACGTAAATGTATTTAAATTTTCATGAATTCAATATTCTGGATCTTCCTCGTATTCTAAGTCACCATATTCTAAAGCTAGTTTGTGATAATTACGTTAAAACAAATTATTTATTTTTCTACTTTTGTTTTCATCTAGCGAGTTTGAATTTTTAAAAATCCAGTGTTGAGTTGCCCAAGTTTCCGTATTTATAATAGACATCTCCTTAATAAAATATATATTATTCACTGCGAGAATACAATGAATGTCTATGATTGCCGAACCCATTATGATTTGACTTTATAAATATATTTCAATTGTATTGATACGACTTATTATAGCAGTAATTATTTTTCTATGTTCTTGTTTTATGCTGGTACTAGAGGTTCTACATTAAATCTTTTCAAATCTTACTTAAGAAATAGAACACAGGTTGTCAGATTAAATGGTGTTATTAGTGATCCTGTTAATATTACGCATGTGGTACCACAAGGAACTGTATAAAGCCTATTTTATTTCTTATTTATATAAATGGTCTATTAAATTTAAATGATGCCATTTCTTGTTTTGCTGATGATACCGCCATATTGCTACATAGTGACAATTATAATGATTTATATAAAAAAGCAATTTCACTACTATACTGTTATATTATTTAAACAAATCTTAACTCATATATTGTTACATTTTATACCTTGCTTAATCTTAATTTTTATTTATTCTTTCTGACATTTTGGCAAAATAACATGTATACTTAAATTATAATCTGACTCTACTCTCCCAATACAAGCGAGAATACAAGCTATGCTTATAGGGAGTGTTGCATACTATTCTATTGTCTTAATTTTAATGTATTGTATTCTTATTTGCAAAATGAAATAATAATAATTATTATTATTATGTTAATAAAAAGGTAATTTAATTTTCTTTTTTAATTTTCCACTAATTATGATTCCCTAAATAGTTTGAAAAATTTAATAAGTACAATTTTAGTTCTGTGGTATGTACGGGTGAGGCGTACAATATACGACAGTACCTACTGATAACTATTAGATACAAAATGTAGGCACTTATAGATTCATACATTTTCTTTGAGTTGTCTGCTACAATAACATATAATACTTTTAAAAAATAATATTTTTAGTGCATGGAAAAAAACAAAGTAGGACTTACCTAGGTACATGATTTTTATAAAAATAACTTCATGAATTATTAAAAATTAATTTAATATAGTTAATTTAATACTGTTTAATAAGTTATAATTAATAAATAGAATTATATTAATACAATAGATCATTAGTATCAATAAAATATGACTTAAATAGAAATAAATACTTAAACATTAATATAAAATATTTGTATGACTCATTAAAAATTACTAATTTATAAAATAAATATCTTTATATCCTTATACCACTGCGTATAAATTTATTTGAGTTTAAACCTGAATTTTTAGGTGACCCTGAACCTGCAATTATTCCATCTGGTGGAGCTTTAAGAACTTTAAAATGGAGACATAATTCAGAGAAACTTAGAAATAAAGACACAATAACAGCTTTGGCATTAATGAAAGAAGAAGAAGAATACAAGAATGTCTTACAAGATATGGGTTGTTTTCCTTTTTTTCTTCATTATCAAAGTAGTGAACAAATTCATGTGTACCGGGATTACTGTCGAAATTGTCCTCGACCAAAAATTATAATCGATGCCACTGGATCTGTTATTAGTAATTTCAAAAAATGTGGTATGGAAAAAACAAAATCATTGTTTTTATATGAAATATTAGTATATGATGCTTCTAAAAAACATAGCTTTACAGTGAGTAACATGATAAGTGAACGGCATACAAATATTGCTATATTTAACTGGTTTGCAAGATGGCTTAATTGTAATGTTCCGTCTCCAAAAGAAACAGTGTGTGATCAGTCATTAGCCCTCATATCTGCCATAGTACAATGCTTCACGCAATATTCATCTCTACAAGAGTATCTTAATGTATGTGCTGATTTGACATTAAATCAGTTAGATTCAAATTCTCATTGGCTGCCCCGGTGCTTCGTTAGAACAGATGTTGCTCATTTTATAAAAATGATAACTAGATGGGCACCTCTAAAAACAACATCTAGACGAGTAAAAGAAATAATTCTTAGAGTGTTTGGGTTATTAATAAAAAGTCAATCCATTGAAGACATTTATTCTTTAATTTTATCAATGTTTATAGTACTTACTAGTGAAACAGATGGAAATGATGTTGAACTGGGCCATGGAACAGCTTGTGAGCGCCATAAAATAAGACTGATAGAGGCTACATCATCAGGATTTATCAATTTTGAAGAAGAGTTTAATGAAATTATGCTGATGGCTGATAACGAAAATGAAGCACGAATTTTATTGGAGGAAGAATATGACCGACAATATGAAGGTCTGGATAATTTAAACAATCCGTTTAAATCCTGGGCAGAAGAAATTTTAAAAAGAAGTGAATTATTGTTAAGAGAAGGGTCAGGAATTAATGCAATGTACATGCCAACTTTGATTCCACACATAATTAAATGTTTAAAACTTCTCCCTTTATGGTCTGGGTTAATGGTACCTATTTTTGGATTTGGAGATGAAACTACAAGTTCTGCAGCTGTAGAATCCAGCTTCAAAAAACTTAAAACATTAACATTTAAAGATATTTCGCTTCCTACAAATATTGAGACGTTTTTAGAAAGACACATAATTTCACTGCGTGGTACATCTCTTTTACGGTCTTCACATCAAAATGTATTATTAGACAGCCTTCAATTACATGCAAATAATAACAGTCATTAAACTGAAAATGAAGTCCAAAACGCAGATATTATCAATGATCAAAGTGAAAGAGAAGACTTAGTACCACAAATAGATAATGTTAGTAATATTCAAAGTGACAATTTAAATGAAGAAGACACAGCAGTAGAAAGTTGGAAACGTAGATCTAAAAAACAAAGGACTACAAAATCATACCTTGTTCCTAATCCTCATTTAAGGCATTTGGACATAAATAAATCGAAAAATATATTATCATTGCCATTATTAAAAAATGGATCTAGAGCAGAGGAACTAAAAAGTTGTGCTGTCCAAAGCATTGGGAAAATAATTATGAGCAACACTTGTGCGTTTGATACGGTTTCCTCCATTATTATGGTTGCTTATTGTGATAGTATCAAATACAGTCAAGAATTAAACAATTTTTTGGAAAATAATGAATATTTTTCATTTATATCAAAAATTGTAAGACAAGGTATTACATCGTCAACTTATTCAGATAGAGCTAGTATAATGGTTGGTATTTAAATTGAAATACATACATACTTTAAAATTTTATTTTATTTTTTTGTTTAAATTTATGTATGAATCTACATAATAATTTATTTATATATTTCATTTTTATGTTGTTGTGAACTAACATGAATATTATTGAAATATTCACTGTAATAAAAAAAATGGATTGCATACCTAATAGATATCATAATTTTGTATGAAATTTGTATTGTATATATTTTGTATGGTTTATAATGTTTGTATATTTATTTCAGATAAGTGAATTTGAACCACGTATGGAATTTTTAGAATATGGTACTACTTTAGCAGTTTGTGATACCACAATAGGACATATAATTAAACAATTATTCAATGATCTTCCATCGGCTTTAGACATAATAGAGTGTACAAATCTAAAATGTAAAAAAACAACATTAACCCCTATATCTGTACCTTATATAAATATTCAAATTACAAATGAGGACTTGAGTTACCTACAACAGGATATAGATAGTAGAATGAGAACTAATACTTCAATATGTGGTCATACTGAAAAGAACAGTACACCGTGCATTGGTAACAAAACAGTGACAACTACAATACAAATGCATTTATTTATTGAGCTCCTCAATAGGATAGGTATTAATTTTGTATTTATCTTATTGATTAAAATATGGTTTTTCCCCTAATTTATATAAGTAAAATCTATTTTATTTCAGAGGAGGATGAAATAAATAGCAGCCAGCATAGCACCGAAGCAGCATCTCATCCTAAAATAAAGTTGTCAAATATCCCACCTGTACTTATCATAAATGAAAAAGCATTTGAACTGAGAGGTGTATTTTGCTATCAACAAGGATTAAGTAGGTTAAGAAACTCTGTAGGGCATTATTATGCTTATGGAAAACGAGGACCAAACAACTGGGAGCTATTTGATGACACAAGGAAAAAAACAAAACCTGTAAAAAATTCAACTGTCGCCCCATGTGAATATTTAATGTATTCAATTTGAAATATTATATTTTGTTATTTTTGTTTTATCTTAAAAATAATATTCAATAAAAGGATTTTTTTTTACCATGATACAAAATTAATTTTATAGTGTTCAAATTACTGAACATAAAAATAACTTATACAAAAATAAGTCAACTTGTTATCTGTAAGTTAATTTTACATTGCTTCCACAAAGTAGTAATAGCAATAATTATTATTCAAACATAATATGATATAACTTCACAAATCACAATAGAGTATTTCATTATACATTTATACCGGTAAAGTTAATGGTGTACAAATATATCAATATCACAAAGGTATAGTAATTTAACATTTAAGATCCATAGTAGGTTAATGTATTCATTTGAAAAACATCTTCAACAATATAACTATTGTGAAGAAACTATCCAGATTATAATATTTTAAACCAAAACTTTGAAATATGTTACCTTATAATGGTCAATACCTACCTATATCATACATATATAGGCAAATAACAAAAATGTTTAAAAAGTCTATGGTATTTATGTGCAAGTATTTATATACCTTTATAAGTTTAATTAATAGGTTGGTACTCATATTTGATATTAGTATGGATGATAAAAAAAAAAAAACAATAATAATGTTATTCCGTTTACTGACTTTATACCAGCACGCATTGCCAATAGAATATATGAACTTCAACTGTCAACATAAATGTATTCATATCTTTATGTATTGAAGAAAACACAATTAGGTGTTTAAAATTTGAATGAAAATTATCGGACAACTACTTTCTCATAGGTACCTACCGTAAAATGGGATATCACTGGCCCACTTTTTATATTTTTTTTTTATACATTCTGGTGAATTTTGGAAAAATCTTTGTAAAAATCCGTACTTAATAATTTTTTTTAGTAAAATATGGATCAACTATTTTATATTATAAGTCACATTGACATTATTAACATCTTATGGCCAATGTTGCACATATATGGGGTACCTAATTATGTCCTACATGTATAAACTCACTGTAAAAGGTGTATTTCATGAGTTGGGTCTATTGTATAGCATATAGTATACATTAGATATTAGAGCAATTAGTTAAATTAATAACTAACTTCAGTCTCAAAGTAAATTTTAATTTATAAGTCAAATGGTTTTGTTTGTAGGTAGGTAACCTTCTAATGAGACAATAGTATTGTAAAAAAAACTTTTTCCACTTAAACTGTTGAAATATCCCTGTAAAAAATCTCTCTGTAAAAAAAGTGTTCAGAAATGAACGGTGAAGTATGTAGAAATGTCCGGATTGAATTAAAGAAATCACCCTGGTTGAAAAAAAGTGCTCAGAAAAGCACGGTGGAGCATGTAGAAATGCCCGCTTGAACTGAAGAAATCTCCCTGTCAAAAAGGTGCTCAGAAGGAACAAAACCATACTACTTATTGAGTACCTAGGTGCCTAATTTCTGAGTTATTATAGTAATAACTAATATGTAAATATGTTTATAACAAGGGGCAAGGATAATTATCCATAAAAATAAAATTAAAAAAAAAAACAGTATAACGTGTATATTATAACTGAAAAACTACTCGTTCGAGTTTTGGTTTAGATATAATATGCTTTATTTATAAGCATAAAAAAGTGAACATTCTTGAAAATTCACAATGTATAAACATTAAACAAAACAATTTATTTATTTGGGTTGTATGTGAATTTAATTTATTTAAATACATAAAAACTAGGTATGGTCCAACCATTATAGGCACATGTGCAAATTATGTATTATACCTATGCATGATACAATTTTATTATGAAACTAGATTCCGGTGTTTGTCATCCCGCCTACGGCGGAAAGACTGTGTGGGCGGTGGTGCATCTTTGTCGGCTATGCTGGGTTTTTTGATCCAGCCTGCGGGGGGAAGGGGGGTCGTCGGGTATTACGTTTTGTCGTGTTGGCAGCACTTTTTAAGCGGTAATTTTTGAACTCGGAAGAGTGTCTAGTCGTAAGTCACGCGATTCAAGTCGATCGTAAGACACAGCCAGCCAGGTAGGCAATCCGACTACGTCGGATCGCAGACCATGCCCCATTCGTGTATGCCGGTTCTTGAGTGTGTGTGTTGAAATCGGAAATTCGGATTCTGGGTTTGAGTGTCTAGCTATCAGTCATCTCGGGTAAAAGTCGATTCCCGAGTGTCGGATGCAGTGGGGGACACTGGGGGTGTAAGTCGCTCGTATGCAAGTAGCTAGTCAGGTAGGCAATCCGACTACGTCGGATCGCAGACCATGCACCGGGCGTGTATGTCCGGTTCTCGTATGTGTGTTGAAATCGGAAATTCGGATTCTGAGTTTGAGTATCTAGCTATCAGTCATCTCGGGTGAAAGTCGATTCCCGAGTGTCAGATGCAGTGGGGGTGTAAGTCGCTCGTATGCAAGTAGCTAGTCAGGTAGGCAATCCGACTACGTCGGATCGCAGACCATGCACCAGGCGTGTGTGTCCGGTTCTCGTATGTGTGTTGAAATCGGAAATTCGGATTCTGAGTTTGAATGTCTAGCTATCAGTCATCTCAGATGAAAGTCGATTCCCGAACGGACAATCCGCCTACAGCGAAAAGTGCTCGAAACGGCCGTTCAAATATGAAAAAGTATACAGGAGGTAATAAAATTGTATTTGTTGATAATTATAGAGAACAGTTATCAGGTGTTTTATGTTAGGCTTCACTGTAATCAATGTAATCATTGTTATGTTTTCGCGGTTATAACAAATAAGTCGACAAAATCTAATTTTCTGATTGGATATTATCTAAAATATACCTACCTTGTATATTTATTTAATTATGAGAATTAAGTCAAATTAACAAATAGATAATTATATTGGTGAATAACAAATTTTATTGAAATGTAATACTATCCTATTAAACGTAGGTATCTATAAATGAATACACTATACATACTCTCGTTTCCGACACACTACTCCACCCCGGGACTCGAATTTTCGAAAAAAACGGCAAATGAAGCAGTCATATTACAGTCGTACTATTTTTTAATATAGTATTTATAATCTGTAGCAGTATTTAACCAAATCGGAATCACGTAAAAACTGTAATATATCAAGTAGGTACTACACGTAGGTTAGTTATATTATAATGTATTATTAAAAGAAACATGTAGGTGCGTCGGTAAATGTTAATTATAATTATTTTTTTGCCCAATAAATATCGTCAAACGAATAATAATAATATATATAATATAATAATGCAAATTTAAAAAAAAATTAACACTTTCGTTAAAAATGATAAATGTGACGAAAAAAAAAACGCAAAAAAAAGAAATTTGATTTAACACGGCCCCGCCGGCGTTCGAAACCACGACCGTCGATCACCCGTTTTAACGCCTAACCTACCTAGCCACCTACCGAGATGAAATTAGGAGTCAAATCTATGACTCTTAAGGGCGTTTGAGCGGACCACCGTGTCCGCCACCTTCGGACGTTCAAAACGCGAGATTTGCGAAAAAAATCGAACCTCGAGGCGCATGTATATACATGCGTATATATGCCTGTATATAGCGATACCTACGCGGTACCTACTCTCGTTTCCGACACACTACTCCACCCCGGGACTCGTCTGTGGCTATAAATATAGCAGGGAACGCGAATAAGTAGTCGACGGGGAGGGTGATATGACCGAAAGGGCCTAAAACTATAATTTTCAAAAAAAACGGCAAAAAGAGCAGTCATATAGTCGTACTATTTAACTGCCAGAGTTTAATCAGTTCTATTAGATCTATTAGTTTATTAATACCGTATTAAACAGTATTTAACCTAAAAACTGTAATATATCAAGTAGGTACTACATGTAGGTTAGTTATATTATATTGTATTTATTGGTCACGGTAAAATCAAGTATTATTATTATTATTGAAGTTAAACTTCTTATGTGAGGGGTATTGAAAAAAAAGAGAGTGACGCTCGGGCGTCACGGACGCTCGGGCGTCACGGACGCTCGCGCGTCACGAAAACGGTACGATGTTTTGTTTATAAAGTTTTTGATATTTTCCGTTTCAATATTTTGTAATCTTTTTGGAAACATATCATATGATATTATAAACAAACCAGTATAAACGTATAAACCATGATAAAATAACATGGTATGATGGCAACGAACTGAATATCGTCGGAGTTTGCGCATTTCATTGTATCCAGTTCTCCTCATAATGCACTATGTATATATATTGATCATGAAAACCAATGAAAAGCGGCGAACTGGATACAGCTCTGTATGATGGTCGGCGGGGTAAGGGGTATGCGTATCATAAAGTTGCCAGCATACCATGTTATTTTATCATGGTATAAACAATATTCCGTAGTCAAGTTGATAAAAGCGAAAACGCATATATAATAAATATTCCAGAGTGCGCGATAATATAATATAATATAATATAATATACTATTTTTAGGTGAGTCAAATTATGTATATTCAAAATATAACTCGATGAATTTCATCATATTATATGACTATACTATAAGTATTTAATAAATAATAATAATAATAATAATTAATATTTAGTTAATATTTGACACATTTACAATGACCAACGCACCTATATTTTTCAAATAGTATATAATACTCTGATGGTTCAATTGTATAATGATATGACATAATTTGATATTACTCAATATATATGTCTATGGTCTATCAAGTATATTTATTTATTTAATATCAAATGTAATAATTTATGAATAACAAATTGATATATATATATTATGTACCTACATAATATGACTAATGTATTTTATAGATGTATGTATATACATAATAGTAGGGTTATATTATATGTATGGACATGAATTACTACTGATATTAGTAAATATTTTGATCCATTGGTCTAAAAGTATAAATTAAGTACCTACACATAATATTATAAAGGTAGGTAGTAGGTATTACTTAATGTATTACGGTTTTTAGGTGAGAAAACAAAATATAACTTAATGTATTTAATTAAATTCTGGCAGGTAAATTGCATAATGGTATGACTAA